CCCTGTCCCCCACCCCGCCTGTCACCCGGGACCCCGTCCCCAACCCTGCCTGTCACCTCGGGACTCTGGCTCCCAGCCGTCCTCCCCACTGACTGCCATCCCGTGGCTCGCTTTATCCCTCTCACTTTTCCGGATTCTGTTCTTCCTGTGTCATCTTGGGCCATGTCGTTCCTTTCCCCGGCTATCCAGTGGTCTAACCTTCTCCTTCTGTCTACCGGCCTCCCACTGCCGCCTGTCCTTCACTCCTCATGCCCTGTCTGGGGTGGCCCTGCCTGGGGTCCCCCTTTGCCTGTAGTTTGGTGTGGACACTGGGAAGGCTGACCCTGGAAGTCCAGCCAGCTGTTCCGAAGGCTCCAGCCCTGCCCCTGGGGTGATTGCAGAGCCACAGCCCTGCCTCATGGTGATATTTTTGTGAGACAGAGCAGTGGCCTCTGGCTTGCTGAGAGGCAGCTGGATTTTCTAGTTTCTCAGGATGGTTCTAGGCTGTGGACCCAAAAAGATCCCAGGACAAGAAGAGGAGGGCAATAGTAGCCTGGTGTGGGCATTCAAGGCACAGCCTGGATACCTGTCATCACATTCAGAAGCTGAGGCAGGGATGGCTACTTAATGATATCTGGTTTTCAAAAAAGAAAAATACTCAAAAGGGCTCAAGCTGACAGCTTCTCCACGCTGCCACTCTGGCTGACCTGAACTCACTCTGTAGCCCAGGCTGGCCTCAAATTCAGAGAGTTACAGCATGCACCACCACACCTGGCAGATATATGAGCTCCCAGAACCAAATAAGAACTCTTAGGTTAACCGAGGCCAAGCCCCCTACCTGCAGTTGGCCAGCCCAACCCTGGCTGGACCAATGGTTAACCAGGCCCCAGAAAGAACAGGGTGTGGTGTGGTCATGGGAGAGAGTCCAGAGGCCACACGGCCCCCTGGGGCAGCCCCTAGGAATCTGCTTTGGTCCCCTCCTGAGAGTTGGTTTCATTTCTCAATCCAAGACATGTGGGGTGGTGAGGTCATCTCTGGGCAGGAAGGGGAAGTTGGAAACCCAGTGCCAGGCAGAGGAACAAGGCTCAGAGTCTTTTCTGGGGGTCCCAGTCTCACAGCCCCTCAAGTTCATCCATTTAAAGAAAATGTGTGAAGTGAGCTGGGTGTGGTGGCACACGCCTTCAGTCCAGCACTCAGGAGGCAGAGGCAGGTGGATCTGTGAGTTTGAAGCCAGACTGCTCTACAGAGTTAGTTCCAGGAGAGCTAGGACTGTTACACAGAGAAAGTCTGTCTCAAAGAACCAATAAATAAATAAATAAATAAAATGTGTGAAGGGACCCAGATGATGGCTTATTCCTTTAATCCCAACACTCTGGAGGCTGAGACAGGAGGATCAGGAGTTCAAGGCCAGCCTGGTCTATTGAGATACATTTTCTGCCCCTCCTGGTCGGGATGGGTGGGAAGGGCAGGATCTTGCACTCATTAGAACGTCCTTTTCTGGGGGCATGGAGCAGGATGCAGTGCCCGGTGTGTCCTGTCTTTTCTCCGTTCTAGTTGCAGGCCACTTACCACATCAGGAAGACTCCTGGCTCTTGCTGTGTGTACCCCAGTTTCCCCATCTGAGCGGAGAGAGGAGGCCAGAGCCCATCTGTTCTGTTTGCCTGCCTCTGTTGCCTCCTGTCACTCCTCTGTATCTCCCCTCTACCATCACAGGCACCGTCTGTGTCCTGCTGTCCTTCCCATTCATCTTCAGCCCATGCCTTGGCTGCGGGGAGGCCACCCCTGAGTGGGCTGCCCTGCTCTATTATGGACCCTTCATCGTCATCTTCCAGTTTGGCTGGGCTGCCACTCAGATTGCCCACCTGAGTCTCATCCCAGAGCTGGTGACCAGTGACCACGAGAAGGTGGAGCTCACAGCCCTCAGGTACTCGGGCATTGGGGATGGTCACCTAGCTAGGCGTCCCTGGGAAATTATCTGTCAGCTACAGCTGTGCAACAATTGAGTGCCAGGTGAGCCACAGAGGAACAATGTGAAGCTCTTGACTTCACACTTTTTTTTGAGACAGGGTTTCTCTGTGTAGCCCTGGCTGTCCTGGAACTCACTCTGTAGACCAGGCTGGCCTAGAACTCAGAGATCCACATGTCTCTGCCTCTTGCATCCTGGAGCTAAAGGTGTGAGCCACCATCACTCGGCTGGAACATGGCTATAGAATTTGAGGCATTGGCTTGATGGTTCTCTGAGGCTGGCAGAGTAGTCTGTGACCTAAGGCCAATGTTCTAAGGTCACCTTATTAGGCCAGGCCCTCCAGGGACAACCCCCACAAAAGAACCTCAGCTGACCAAGGACTTGTCTCCACATAACCCTTCAGGGAAGGACCCTGCAGTGTGGGACGCTGCAGGCTTGGTGACCATCTCCACCAGCCTAGGAAGATAGGAGATGGTATTCTGGATTTCTGATAGGCAGTAAGCATTTACTGAGCACTTGCTGTATCCCAGACACGGTTTCTGTGGACTCCCTTGTGCTAGATCAGGCCCTCCCCCACAGGTATGCGTTCACCGTGGTGGCTAACATCACGGTGTACGGTGCCGCCTGGCTGCTGCTGCATCTGCAGGGATCCTCGCATGCTGGGCAGGATATCAGTGTAGGTGACCAGCTGGGAGTCCAGGATGTGCCGGTGTTTCGGGTAAGTTGGGGCTGCGTGGTTGCCCCAGGGTCCCCAAGCCCATGGGAGCCGTGACTGACCTCTGCCGTCCTTTCCAGAACCTGGCCCTGATGGTGGTGGGCGTGGGAGCCATCTTCTCGCTGCTCTTCCACTTGGGTACCAAGGAGGGGCGGCGGCCCTGTCCCCGGGAGATGGAACCTGACGAGCACAGCCCCCTGGTGGCCCCCACAGCCAGGCCACTGCTGCTCTGGAAACACTGGCTGCGGGAGCCAGCTTTCTATCAGGTGAGAAGACACCCGGTACCACCAAAACCACCTAGAACCGACATCACTAGTGGATCTGACAGTCCGTGCCCGGGGCAGGCATTACTAATCAACCTTCTGTTTTATAACCAGAGCAGACATTACGAATCAGTTGTCTATAGCCAGGGCATGTATTATTCAACAGTCTATGCCATGTTCGGGGCGGACGTTACTGATTTCTATCTATTTCACTTCCAGGACAGACATCACCAATCACTCCTTTACTGAACTCTCAGGGCAAACTGATTTCTGTTTTATACTTAGAGCAGACATTATTTATTAATCACTTTTCTGTTCTACATGCAGGACACAGGTGACTGGTTTCTCATATCCCACCCACTGCAGACATTGCTAATCACACATTTCTTCCCTCCCGGCCTGCTGAACAGTCAGCTGTAATGAGTCAGTGCCCACTGTGGCAGTCTCAGCTTGTTCTCCAAACCCCTGACTGGTGGGAGTGCACTGGGTCTCCCACTGACCCCTGGGCTTGTCCCCCTGCTGATCCGCCCACAGGTGGGCATGCTGTACATGACCACGAGGCTCATTGTGAACCTGTCTCAGACCTACATTGCCATGTACCTGACCTACTCTCTCAGCCTACCCAAGGTGAGGTGGTGGTGACAGTGGGGTGGAAATGGATGGCCCCGCCCACCTGGGAGGCCCCTCTGGACCTCGACTGCCCCTCCCTCCGCAGAAGTTTATCGCCACCATCCCTCTGGTGATGTACCTGAGCGGCTTCCTCTCATCCTTCCTCATGAAACCTGTCAACAGGCGCATAGGGAGGAACGTGAGTGACAGGTGCCGCTGGGGGGTGGGCAGGGGTGAGGACACCCTCAGGGCAGACCCACACCCCTGGGTGTCAGACAGCAGCCTGAATCCCACAGTCCAGGCAGCCCCCAAGGTTCTCTGGCCCTCAGGCTGCAGCTCTGGAACCTTCCAGGCTGTTGCAGCCTGGCGGGCTGTGGTCAGGACTGCCTACCCTGCATGTAGAATGGGAAATTGATTAGTAATGTCTAACCTGGCTGTAGAACAACGATGCCTGTCTTGGGTGTGGAATAGGACACATTTTAATGGAGCCTTTCCTTGGGCTGAGGACCAGAGGGCACATGGTGCCCAGCGATGTGGGGGCCTGATGTAGGCCATGTCTCCTTCCTTCCTAGATGACCTACTTCAGCGGGCTTCTGGTGATCCTGGCCTTCGCAGCATGGGTGGCTCTGGTAGATAAGCTGGGCGTGGCTGTGTATGGGGCAGCTGTGCTGCTGGGTGCAGGCTGTGCCACTGTCCTTGTCACCTCACTGGCCATGACAGCTGACCTCATTGGCCCACACACGGTAGGGCTGGTGGGAGGAGCCTTGGGTGGCCATGATCTGCATCCTGGGCCTGGGCAGTGACCCTCTGTGTGTTCCGCAGCACAGTGGAGCCTTCGTGTATGGTGCTATGAGCTTTTCGGACAAGGTGGCCAATGGGCTGGCAGTCATGGCTGTGCAGAGCCTGCACCCCTGCCCGTGAGTTCCGTCCCTCAGACTGGAAGAGGGCACATCCCTTGTTTTGGACATTTATTCATTCAAGAAACACTGAGTTTCTCTTGAGCTGGGGGCTAAGGGCCAGGCTGCAGAGGACACAGAGCCACTTGGGCCCCTCACACTGTGGGCTCCTGAGCCACCCAGCCACCCGTACTGGCTCAGGACAATGCCAGCCATGTCCCTCAGGGCTAGTGTAGAAGTGCAGATGGGAAGGGGCAGTCTCAGGAATCGAGGTCAGGCAGGAGGCCTGGAGGGTTTCTGAGAGCCCGAACTGTGTTCAGGGGTGTCAGTATCATGGCAGGGCCCATGCTGGAGCCAAGGGACATGACAGGGCTGTGAGCTCAGGCTGCAGGGGAACTGTGTGTGTAGATCTAGGGTCCCCTAAACTTGAGATGGGAGCCTTGGAGGGCTGTTGCAGAGGACACTGCGGCCATTCCCAGGGACCCTCAGCCTGCCTTCTGTCCCCTAGCTCCGAGCTGTGCTGTAGGGCCTGTGTGGGCTTCTACCACTGGGTGATGGTGACCGTGACCGGTGGTGTGGGTGTGGCCGCGGCCCTGGCTCTCTGCAGCCTCCTCATTTGGCCCATTCGCATTCGAACCCGTACTGGTGAGTCTCCATTGGCGCAGCTTGGGTGTTGGGTGCAGGCTCCGGGCTGGGGTGGGGGTGGGGGTGGGGCAGGACCCGCCCTTCCCAACGCCGCCGCCCTACTCCTCATTTTCAGGGGACCCCAGAGACCGGCCCTGACCCGGCTCCCTAGGGCAACACGACGAAGGACCAGGCAGACACCCTAGTCCCCCGACCCTCCCTCCAGCTGCCCGGGGTCAGAGGCCACGCTGTGCGGGGGTGGACACCCGGCTAAGCTTGCTGGGCCCTGGGGACTCTGCCCAACCGTGAACTCAGAGGACGCAGCAGCCCGGAGCAGGCGCTTGCGGGGACCAGGGGAGAATAAAGCTCGGCCGCAGAGGCTGGAGGACTGACACCCAGGCTGTGTGTGGGGACGGTCGGTGGTCGGTCGCCTGGCCTGGCCGGGGACGCAAGGCGCGAGGCGCGAGGCGCGGGCTGGCAGTAGGGCTTTATCAGAGAGAGGGTGTGAAGGTCGGAGGCATCTGGCCGGTGGCCGGGCAGGGGCGCTGGCGACCCAGCTGCTTGAAGTCCTGGGAGGTGTAGCGTGGCCGCTGTGGCGGCGACAGGTAGGGCACGTAGTCTGACCGCCAAGGCACCGGTGCCCCGAACTGGTTCCTGTTGACCACTGGGGACAGGGAGTGGCTCAGAGGCTGGCACTGGGGGCCCTCCCGCACCCCGCTTCTCTTTCCCTGCTGTTGTGACACAGGGCCTCTTCAACTTTGACACCGTGTTGCCCAGGCTGCCCCTGGAACTCACGGATAGCCTCCTGCCTCTGCTGTGGGAGTGCTGGGGTGACCCGCATGCATCTCATCCCGAAGCTTACCGAATTCCTTGCCACGGATGCGCCTGTCCCTCCACGGCACGCACCCCCAGCGTGTGCCTGGATTGAGGTACTGCGCTGGCAGCGTAGGGTCCCAAAAGGCAGTCTCCCGCAGGCGCTGCGTGTAGGCTGTGGGGAGGCGAGGGCGCCATCAGCGTGGGGCCCACGGGTATGCGCGGTCGGGGATGCGACACTCACCGGACGGTAGGCCACGCTGGCGACTCTGGAAGCAGCCGTTCCAGCGCGTGAGGGCCTCGCGAAACGGGCTGTCGAGCGATCTGGGCAGCATGTACCAGGCATCGCGCGGTTCCGAGTTGGTCAGGCCGGTGAGCCACGCCTGGCCAGCTGCATCCTGTCCCATGGGTGTGAACTTCCAGCGCAAGGCCTGCTGTATGGACGGTGCCCAACGGGGGCCCTCCAGGGACATGTAGTCATTGCTGGAGGAGGATGGGAACTGAGCGCGGGCAGACACCCTGCTGTTCCCAGCCTGTCTCCCTGTCTCAAGTGTGTCTGCCAAAGCGCTGTGGCGTGAGGGTCACTCCATGTCTGCCCAGTGTCTCCTTCGCACACTTGCCCACCTGTAGTCATTACCCCATGTAGCCGAGGATGGCCCTGCTCACTTTTGAGGCAGGTCTCACTGTCAGTGTGGACCTGGCAGCAATCCTCCTCACTCAGCCTCCCGAGTACTTGGAATGACAGGCACTGAGCCTGGCGTCTGGGGGCAGGAGGGGACCTAGCCAGGGTCATACCTCACAGGAAGCTCCCACAGATGGTGCCCAGAGCAGGGTGCCAAGGCACTTGCCAAGACCCTTCAGTGACAGGCTTAGGAATTCGCAGTGGAGAAGAGGTTGTGGCCCCTACAGTTTTTTTTTTTTTTTTTGGTTTTTCGAGACAGGGTTTCTCTGTGGCTTTGGAGGCTGTCCTGGCACTCGCTCTGGAGACCAGGCTGGTCTCAAACTCACAGAGATCTGCCTGCCTCTGCCTCCCGAGTGCTGGGATCAAAGGCATGCGCCACCACCGCCCGGCATGGCCCCTCCAGTTTAAAAACCAAAACTAGGGCTGTGGTGGCTCCATGGCAGACCCCTGGTACTGTCTCCAGCACCACAAAAGGCTGGAGTATAAGCAGGCCTGGGAAATGGGATTTTCTTGCTGGATGGCACATTTCCACATTCAGCATGCTGAGGCAGGAAGATCTTTGTGAATTTAAGAATAGTTTGGTTTACACAGAAAGATCCTGTCTCAAATTAAAAAAAAAAAAAATGTGTGGCATGATGGTACATTCCAGCATTTGTGGATGGGGGCAGGAACATCAGAAGTTCAAGAACATTCTTGGCTACATGGTGAAGCTGGGGGGGGGACGGGGACCAGGCACCCTGTTCCTTAGTGCAGACACCTGTCACACATACCATGAGCAGGTAGTGCAGGGAATGCCATTGTTGAGCCTGGTAGCTTCCAAGCCCAGTGATCTGAGGCTGGGGGCTTCCCTTCTTGCAAGTGGGGGTGTGCATATGCCTGAACCCCAACCTCTTGCATGCCTGTGACCCAGCCACCTTGGTTGCAGGTTACAGGGCTGGCAAGCTGGTGCTCAAGTGAAGGGAGATGCCAGACGCAGGGACCCACCTGTATAGAGGGGCAGGGAAGTAGAGTTCCAAGGTGCCCGAGGGGACAAAGGGCCGGGCAGCTTCCCGCCTCAGGTTTTCCATGTCTGCCTCTATGCTCCCAGAGGCTCAGACTACCAAGGCTCTAGGGCCATTGTTGACAGGAACAAAGGTGTCCCAGCAACAGTGAAGTGGGCATCCACAGTCTCCATGACTTCCTAGTGTGGGCCTGGGGCCTTGAGCTCCTGCCAGCTCCCTATGTGGGGACATGTGAATGTTCTACAGCTTAAGTCATGCCTGCATTGTGCCAGCTTCCTCACAGCCTGCCCTCTCTATCCTCTGGACACCCAGATGAAGGCACTGTGCTCAGCAGGGCTGAGACAGGCAGTGAGATCCTGCTTGTGATGGGCACACACTCTGAACCATCACACAGCCAGTGTGGAGGAACCTTTGAGGGCATAGTGCTCAGTGAGGGACCCAGACACAATGGCTGCATAGTGTGGGCTCCATGACAGGAAATGGATTCGAGGGGGCTGTGGTTGGGGCCTGCCTCTGGTCATAGAATATTCTGGAGTTAGTGGTGATTGTTACATAACTGACAATGCTGAGTCCAGCAGCCTGTTCATTTTATGATAGTACATTGTATGTTTTGTATATTTTACTACAATAAACAAATGTCAATACAACCAAACTCAAAACTGCTTGGTGCACACTCCACTGTGCAGGGGCAGTGCCTGTATCCAGGGACTAGGGTCCATCTGGGTCCTGTTTCCACAGCACAGACAGGGTTACCTGCTTGGCCCTCTCTGCTCTCTGACATGCTGACCCCAGCCAAGGCTGCAGAAGGGCACATGTGAGCACTGTGCTCCCTTCAGGACTGGGGCACACAGCAAGGAGGCCTCTGGAGTCCCCTGGACACTAATGACCCTGATAGGCTTTTCCCCAGGGACAGCAATGCAAGCCATGTGTGGGTAAGGGTCACACCCTCTGGGCTACATCCAGCTACTTGCAGTTCTAGAAGGCTCTGTGGGATTGGGTTCTGGACTTCCCCCACATCTGAAACCTGTCCCTTCACAAATTGACTATAGCGATATGACCTTGCTATGCCCTGCCCAGGCTCCCTACTGGTCCTTACCCTTAACACAGCTGGCTGCCCACAGGGGACCAGCCTCTGTGACAAGTGTGGTATTGGGGCGTGCAGGGCAGCAGACTTTTGGAGCCTCTCACACCACCCACCTGTGACATCAGAAATCAGAATACAAACTGCACCTAGGTCCCCTGCATGTCTGTGTCCCACCAGCAATAGGCAACAAGCAGCCTCTTGCATCAGCACACATCTGAGGGTCCCAATTGAGTATTCTTTTGGTGACAGGGCAAAGACCAGATTGTGAGCAGCAGTGGCTGAAACTCCTGCTGGGGAGCACAGTGCCCACTGAGGCCACCAGCTTGGGCTTTGCCTTTCAGAATCTCTACCCTAAGAACCTGACTCAAGGCCACACACCCCTAGCCCAATGGCCAGTGGCTTCTCCAGTCATCAGTGTTGGAACAAGGCAACAAAACACACAACAGACCCCAAGGCGTCACAAATACGTATATACACACGTGCACACACCACGGGCCACAGCCACCACACCAGGGATCTGCAATGTCCCTGGGTGAGGAGGAACAGCAGAGATGGGGTCTGAGGTCAGGGAAGCCTGGGAAGCTTTCAGAAGGCCAAGAGGAGGTGGACAAGGCAGATGAGGCAGCTGGCTGGGGAGAGGACCAGATGACACACATGGGGTTACAGGAGGCGCACACACAGACATAGGGTGGCAACGTAATCAGGATGTCATGGGGCGAGAGGCGCAGGTCCCCG